GGGGGCGATTTAGGGCTCCACCCCCTGACCCGGTCAGACCCCCGATACACCCACTAGAGGGGCATACCGGAGGGGTCCCGGAACAATAAGTATTGGCCAATACGGACTGATACATGTCAACACTTTGAACCTTGAAAGAAATAAAAAGTTACAGAGCAGCCCAAAACATTTGATCCCTTCCCACCCCCTGCTTTGCCAAAGCATCAACAAATGCATCTGCTGTTCTCTTGACCCACTGAAACTTGATTTCCAATCCTCTAGTTAGCCATTTAACTCCCTCCTCTCATTAGCAAATTTCCAAAGTCCACTACCTTCTTGTAACCAACTTAAGACCAGCTTCAAGTCCCCTTCAATGACTAACTTTTGTATATTCAGTTCCTTAGACTTCCTTATAACCACCAGTACTGCATAGACCTCAGATTTAAGAGAGTCTCCAACCCCAATGGGACCTCAATACAAAGCGAGGGACCTGGATTTCCCTCACTACTTCCATCAAAGTTTAGCTTTATAAGTCCGCATCCTGGTGATGACCACACTGGACAAACTAAAGAGCGGGTAGGAGCAGAATTTGCCCCCTCCAGCCGGCTATTCAGCAATCCGTAGAAATATCAACAAACAAGTCCAAAGATTCCAGACAGTGTACCACCCTCACCGTTTCTACTTCAATAAGGCTTTCTTTACTTCTTTCAACTTCAAAAAAAAAATCCTAGTGTTCCTTTCCTCCCAAAAAGTCCAGCAAACAACAGCCCTCACACATCTCCACATAATCCTTCCCCTTTTGTTTGGCCAACCGAAGAACGAGGGGCTAAACAAACTTTGAATGTTTGGCGGTGGGGTCCACCTGCAAAAAAAGAGGAAAGAAACCATTCCCAAAGATTAGCAGAAAAGGGGCAAGAAACTAATTCGGAGACAAGCACCAAAAAGGTCTTTTTCTTTTGAGTACGTCACAAGTATTACATCTTTCGAGGAAGGCTTCCCAACAAAAGGCTCCAATCCTTGGAGGAATCGGCTCACCCCAAACATCTTTAACTGGAAATTTTTGTGTAAATAAACTGGATTAAGGCAGTAGGGACTTGAAGTAGGCACAAGAAAAGGTCTCAGAGGAGTTAGGGTCCACAGTCTCTTATCCCTCTCATAGGGATCCGGCACCACTTGGTTTAAGATCTGAACCAGAATCATATGACATTTTCAACCTCTACATCCCTTAAGCCTCTTCTAAGCCCCAAATCCCAATCAAACCCAAAATTAGACTGAGAAGGAACTAGAAAACTAGACACAACCTTGCCCTTATACCGGGAGTGTGAAAAAAAGGGAATTGGTCTTTCAAAGGTCATGCCTGATGTGTTGCAAAAAGGAAGGAAGATGTATAAATTTCCAAGGAGAGGCACCACCAAACCTTGCCAAAATCGCAGTTATGGCCATGAGCCGAGCTTCTCACAAGATATTCGAGCTCAACTCGGTTTAAACCGAGCTTCGAGCTGAGCTCGAGCCTGATATATAGGCTCATTTGCTAATCAAGCCGAGCTCGAGTCTAGTGAAGCTCCGCTCGTGAGGCTCGTAAGCCTAATCATGCCTAGTATAATAAATAAATAATCTTTTTATTATATACATACATACATATAAATATATAAATATATATAATAATATTTTATATATAATATTTTTATTTTTTATGTATAATAGTAAATAATTTTTATAATTCTTATTTTTTGTATGTAAAATAAAAACATGTTTATATGTATATTTTTTATTTTTGTATAATAATAAATAATTTTTATAAATCTTAATTTTTTGTACGTAAAATGAAAAAAATATTTTTATATGTATATTTTTTATTTTTTAGAAAAACACTTGGCTTGCAATCGAGCTCGAGCCAAGCCAAGCTCAAACTTGCAAGCTCTCACCTCCCAACCTCCACAGCCATTTCCCCAACAGGGCTTCATTTTTCCTTCGACCATTACCTAAACCTAAGTAACCCTCCGTCAGCCTTACTCCTAGAGACCAATTCCCAATTCACCCCATGATCCTTCCTCTCCACCCTTGGTTCCCACAAGAACTCTCTTATCAACTTCTCCAAACTCCTACTTATCTTCATTGGGATCCTAAAAATTGATAAGTAATACACCGGCAAACTAGCTAGTGTAGACGTAATTCTACCATCCAGAGATAAATAATTCTTCTTCCAAGAGGCCAACTTCTTAGTAAACCTATCAATTACGAAGCTCCAAAAGCTCTCTTTCCTCATTTTATCCCCTAAGGGCATCCCCAAATAGTTTAGCGGCCATTGAGACACCGTACAACCCAAAACTTCAACCCTCTCCAATAATAGCTCTCTCTTCCTTATTAATCCCTATCATGCAGCTCTTATCGAAGCTCACCTTCATATTTGACATTTGTTCAAATACTTGAACCACCAACTTCAAGTTTTTGACCCATCTCACATCCTCCACCTCACAGAATAGATTTGTATCATCAACAAACAGTAAGTAGGTGATAGGAATGTTGTCTTCTTCCAACTCTCCACCCCCTCATAAGATTTCTCAAATCTGCTTTCTCAATTAGCCTCCCTAAAACTTCAGCGATCAAGGTGAAAAGGAATGGAGAGAGGGGGCCCCCTTGTCTAATTCCCCTAATACCTGGGAAGTGATCCACTGTCTTTCCATTTACCAGGATGGCGTAATGACAAGTCTCTACACAACCTAGAATCCATTTACACCATTTCTCCCTAAATCAGAAGCAATCCAACACTTGCATCAAAAAAGACCAATCAACCATATAGTAAGCTTTCTCTAAATCAAACTTGCACACACTCCCTTTCCTCTCTGTTCTCCGCATATCCTCCACACACTCATTGGCAATTAGAATTTGATCCACAATCTGCCTATTCCGAACAAAAGCCCCTTGATTCTATGAGATTAGCTCACAGAACCTCCCCAATGATTGTATACAAGCTATTAACCAAACTAGTGGGCCTAAAGTCTCTTGGATGACTTGTGCCCACTTTCTTTGGGACCAAAGCAATAAAAGTTGAGTTCAACACCGGATTTATCACTTTCTTTGGGTCAAAAGTCTCCTGCTTTAGTATCTCCCAACAGTCTTGGTAAAAAGCCATGGTAAATCTATCAGGTCCTGGTGCTTTAGCTCGATCCATTGAAAAAATTGTTTCCCGTATTTCCTCCAATTCAAAATTTCTTTCAAGCCACATCTTCTTCTCCTCGGACAATTTTGGCCAATCTAACCCTTCCATCCAATTCAAAAGACTTAAAGTGCTCCACAAAGGCCCTACAATTCTCATCCTATTGAGATATTGACACCCCATCTACCTCCAATTTAGAAATCAGACTTTTCCTTCTTCTACCATTGGCCATTGCATGAAAAAATTTGGTGTTTCTATCACCTTCTTTCACCCACTTATGTCTAGACTTTTGCCCCCAACCAACTTCCTCTTTGAATAGGATGTCTTCTAGCTCCTTCCTGAGCTTCCATCTTTCTTGTTTGTCTCTCACTTCAAAATTGCCCCCAAGGTTCAAAGTATTGATATGATACGCCCTGTATCGGGTGTATCGTATCATATCTTATGGTCTTGATATACTTATTTACAAGTGTTTTGGGACCCCCATTTATTTCAATAAAAAAAGACCTAAAAACATTTCCAGAAATCAAATTTTGAAAAAAAAAAACTAAGAAAAACATTAAGCGGTTAGTTTTTAGTACCGATACACCCCTGTCGATACACAGGAGCGTATCAATACTTAATCTTGATACACAGGAGCGTATCAATACTTAAGCGGTTAGTTTTTAGTACCGATACCCCCCCCCCTTTGGCATCCAACTCCTCAATCTGATTGATCACTTCCAAATTGTAGAATATTCCAATCCTTAATCTTCCTTTTTAATTCCTTCAACTTCCAATGAAATTTCATCCCCTCCCAAACAACACTTTGGTTAGTGTCATTCCACCAACTCAATAAATCCAGGGTGAGACAGCCACATGTTCTCAAATCTGAAAGGAGTGGGCCCTCTAGTACCAAGGTCCTCTCTCATTTAGGTAATAGGCTAATGATATGATGTTACCCTAGGCAATACACTAGAAATAACAGCCCCCCAATGCTCTTCCCAATCTGCTGTGAATAAAAATCTATCCAACTTAGAGCATATAGGATTCTCTTCAAGATTGGACCAAGTGAACAGACCATGTAGCAAAGGAACCTCCTTCAACTCAAAACTGTTTATAAAGTTGTTAAACCTTCTCATGCTAGTGCTACCACCTCTCCTGACCCTAATAGTCTCCTCAGTGAATCTAATAACATTGAAATCTCCTCCTAAACACCAAGGGCCTTCACAGAGTCCTCTAATGTCTCCCAATTCCTCCCAAAGTTACACTTCTTTCTCTATAACCAGTTGGACCATACACATTAGTTAATACCCACTCAAATCCATCTACCAAGTGTCTAAAGTTGATAGAAATAGTAAACCTCCCAATCAGCCCCTCCACTCCCTCGAAAACCTCTTCTTTCCGCATTGTCACTAGACCTCCTAACCTTCCCCACAAAGGACATATAGCCCAGTTGATGCCCCTTACTTTCCACTCCGATCTAGCCCATCTCCTATCAAACTCCATCAGCTTAGAATCCTGAATCAGCACCATGTTCGGACCCTCTCTTCTTATTACTTCTTTTATTAAAGGCCTTTTCCTAGCTCCCCCCAACCCCCTAACATTCCAACTGAGAATCTTCGTAACCATTTTACAAGAAAGCCGTGGATTACACTCAAGAAGTGGATCATAAAAAAGTTATATTTCAGAAGTGTCCATCCAGTATCATACTGGGTTTGTATTCTGTCCATCATGCAAAGCATTTACAGGTATCAGGCATTATAGGTCCATTGGCAAGAGTTAAGTTTGAAATATCATGTTCTATAAAAGCATGAAAAGAATTTCTGAGATATCAGTAAAAAGATGGCTGAAATTCTGATAAGAATTTGAAGAATAGTACCCCGACCTGATAAGCTGTATTATCATTCTGTGAAGATGAAGTAGGAGATCCATATAAGCCATTTGCAGAACCATTCTCTCTAGATGAATCACCCCTTCGATGAATTCTTAAGTTCAGACTTCCACGCAGAATGTTTGACTCAGCATCACGCCCTTCATCACCAGATATTGATGTTTCAAAGTCCAGCTCCATTTCTTCATCATAGTCAGAATCTTCTCTTTCAGATCTCGGACCATCCTGTGATGCATCACTGTTTACCTCTGATCGGTAGAGTATATCACTCAAAGATCGTATTCTTCCAGATCGAGCTTCAGGCTTGGGTGGGCAATCAGTTTCATTTTTGCTTCTTTCAGCTTCAACTGTCAAAGCAGAAGAAGAGTAAATATCACTATACAGTCAAAGAGAAAAAGTCCACAACAATTAAATAAGTACTCCGGTTTAATGATTTCAATTTCAACTTAAATGAAAAGGATGCTGAATACTTACATTAACACTAATATTATTTATATAAAAATGAAAAGATGACAAAAAAATCAAATCCATCAAACGATTTGTTATGCCTAGAAGAAAGTGGCATCTTTAAATAAGGAACCTAATGTCAACAACACCTCCTAGAGACACTAGAAAAAACTCCACAGAAATTCAACAGGTAATGTGTTGAACCTTTAAGTTACAGGTGTCAGAAAAGACAGTGAACAAATAAACTACTAATCAGAAACCTGCAACAAGATATTTTTTATTGGTAACAAACCTGCATCAAGCTGCTCTTTTATACTTTTCACCCTTTCTGCCACCTCAGAATTTGAAGGATCCAAAGATTGTGCATCAAGTGCATACTCTAGTGCTTCTTTGTGTTTCCCTAACTGAAGGACAGTAACTATTAGGAACAGAAGAGAGAGGAAAGAAGCTATATATGCATATAGAAAGAGACACAGAGAGACAAGTCACAAATACATAAGCTTATTATGAATAGGTTGAATGCACTAGTAAGACATAAACATTACAACCCCGCAGCACAGTCAAACAAGGCAGAGTTGTACAAAATCTGCTGAACTGCAAAGAAATCACTCGTCAAATCCCCTACCCCACTACAGATATAAACACAAAAGGAAAAGGATTACCTGTGATAGAGCTTCAGACATGTAGTAATGTGCACTGAATGATGAAGGATCAATATAATGAGCTTTATTGCAGTCTCTTATGGCCATATGGGCATCATTTTTCCACTTCCGCTGGAGAACAAAAACTAACTTATTACCCTCAACAATTCCAAACAACATATTAAGGAAACTAAGTATTTTTTTTCCTCTAGGAAAACAAAAAGAATTGGCAAAACCTTAAGAAATAAAGCTGCACGGGTACACAAGGCTTGATGCTTTAGTGCAATCCCAATTTCAGGACCTTTTCCATCAAGTACTTCATTGCATGCTTCAATTCCATCTAAATAATCTGTCCCCTCCTTCAAGTATTTTTCAGCAGCTTGAACCAATTCCTTGCATTTATTAATCTGTAACAGAAAAAAAAAAGTACTTAGCCAAAATATTACATGGAGAGGCAACAAGATATCCAATTCTAATTAGGCAAACCAAGCAATAATAAAACTACCCACCCTTGCAGAAACCATGCTTTTTCTGGAAAAGCCATCTGGAAGGACTTTTGATGTCACTGGTGGCATCTCATGTCCACCAAATACAGGAACCAAGGACCCCTGCTTTAAAATGTCTCCAACAGTATATTTGATAACACTCTCACCACCTGGAAGATTTTCGTTATAAGACAGCATACATATAATGACACAACTGTCTTGGCAGGAAAAAAAAAATTCAATGAATTATCATAAAGTGGTAAAAATGTTTCAATGACTCGTTGACGCAAATAGTTACAGAAATAGAAGCCTAACTAATATTTGATTTGGATCTTACAAAAACAGTTAAGCAGAGGCTTATGAAAAGATTGTTGATTGCCTGAGCTCCAAGCAGTCTTGCACAATGTTTTTAAAATCATGCAATTCATGATTTGAATCGTACGATTCATATCGAATCAGCCCCAAAATGATTCAAACTGTATGTCCTAATCATTTTTTAAATTAATTGTGTGATTTATGTTCAAATTGTTGTATCAAATCACAAATCGCAATTCAGAACCAATTTAAACGATTAGAACCAAAACATAATTTAAGATAAAAAACCATTTAGTCCACTTTTTTAAAAGCTACACATTTACATCAAGGGGCGGTGTTGTCATTTTGTTTTTATTAACTTAAATAGCCTCTTTAATCAATCAAAAGAGGCTTACTACCCTCCATTGAAGCTCCAACCCTCATCCCCTTGTTTACATGAAAGTTCTTTTTCTTCTTCTTTTGACACAATACAGGGGCTCCGCCCCATTTCTTCTTCTTTTGACGCAAAACAGGGGCTCCGCCCCATTTCTTTCATTCTTCTGCTTTTGTTGCACGGAAGGTAAGGGTTTTTCTTTTTCTCTTTCTGATTTCTGTTATTTTTTTAGTTGAAGATGAAAGGGGTAAGGTCCAACCCTTCTTATTTTGATACAAAACATTTCTTCTATTCTGTTTTTCAATGAATATTTTAAAATGAAAACAGGGGCTCCGCCCTATTGCAATTTCCTCTTTTTTTGCTTCATTTTTTTCCTTTTTCTTTTGTATACAAACACTGGGGCTTCAACTAGGGGTGCTCATGGTTCAGTTAACCAAACCGTGGGCCTTTTTTGGAACCAAACCAGTACTACCAGTTTTTGGGAAACCGGTAACCAGAACCGAACCAAAGCCAGTTGGACCGGTTGACCGGTTCGGTTAGCTTTCAGTTTTTCGGTTTTTTAATTTTTATAATATATATTATAAAAATATATAAATATATAATAAAAATTATAAATATTATATTTTAAATAATAAATAATATATCATATATTATAAATATATATTTATATATAATGCATATTTATTAATTTATAAGATATAAAAATATATAATATATATAATATACATAAATATATATAAAATATATAGAAATATATGTATACCGGTCGGTTCGATTAACCGCCAGTTTTCTATATTAGTTAATCGAAACCGAGCCGGTACCTTCGATTTTTTAAAAACACCAAACCGACCTGTTCGGTTTTTCGGTTTTTTCTCACCCCTAGCTTCAACCTCTTATACTTTTCTGTTTTTATAATGCAAAACAAGGGCTCACCCCCATTTTTCTCCATCTTATTTTTGACCCATGCTATGTTTTCATTATTTCATAAGACTTTTCATTTTATCTATGTCATATTTTAATTTTTAAGTTAGTTGTTCTTCTTTGTTAGGAGTCCTTTTGTTTATCAATGGTTGGAGGCAACGATAGAATAGGGCATCTTTGCTGAACACTGAAGAACTCTATATTCCTTATTGATCAGTGAGGATTTCTTTGTTACCTTCAGTGTATAAGTTTTTATTTATGTTGGTTTAGTGTATATGGTTAGGCTTATGATTTGCCTAGATTTGTAATTTATCATACTTGTACACATAGCATCTCTTTGGTTGTTTAGCTGTTTATGTCAATGGATGTGCTTATGAGTTATATCCAAATAAGCATTGGTATCAATTACCAAAAAAAAAAATAGATTTCAGAACTTAATTTCTTTAATTGCATTGTTTCACTATTGTATTATTGTATTGATTTGGCTTAAATTATTGAAACTTGAAAGACATGAACATGACGTCATGTAAAGCTCATATTTATATAATTATATGATCATATCAAATAGCAATACAATTAAGGATATAATTTTTTATTGCTTAACATTGAAGTTGAACTTGATCATGCCCATGGCATCTATTGAATTACGATTTATGACACTGGTATAATTGTCAGACTCACTACCGGTCGACTACCATAGCACTACTACTACCTATTTATGTTATGTCAATAGGCTAAAAATTAGTACAAAGTCATTCATTTTCATAATTTTTAATGGGTTTAGGCATTTTTATAGTTTTTTGACAATTTTTAGAAAAATCAGAAAAAAGCTTACGATTTGATTTAAACCTCTTTACAATTTACGATACGATGACAATTTTCAAAACATTTGTCTTGCAAGGGATGCGCTGTGGTGAAAAGAGTGCAAAAATGGAAAGTTTACTGCGAAATTTTGCAAGTGGAAGGTTTTTTTGTTTTTTAAAAATGAAAAGAGTGCAAAAATGGAAGGTTTTTTGGTTTTTTAATTTTTATAATATAAATTATAAAAATAAATATAAATATATAATAAAAATTTATAAATATATATACAATATTATATTTTAAATAATATATCATATAGTATAAATATATATTCATATATAATGCATATTTATTAATTTATAGTATATAAAATATATAGAAATATATGTATACCGGTCAATTCGGTTTACCACTGGTTTTCTATATTGGTTAACTGAAACCGAACCGACCAGTTCGGTCAACCGATTTTTCGGTTCGGTTTTGGTCGATTTTTCAGTTGGTTTGGTTTTTTGGTTTTTTTGCTCACCCCTACTTGGTATAAACCAAACTTCAAGCTGAGTTCGAGCCCAATAAAGCTTGGCTCATGAGGCTCACGAGCCTAATCAAGATTTTACATATATGTATGCATGTATATATGTATATAGTATTTTAATTTTTATATGTATAACAATAACTAGTTTTTATAATTCTTAATGTTTTATTTTATAGGAAATTTGGCTCACAGTCAAGCTCGAACTTTCGAACTTTTGAGTTGAGCCAAATTTGAGCTCAAGTCTAGCTTAAATTGAGCTTGAGATCGAGCCTCGTAGTGTTTTGACGAGTCGAACTCGAATAGCCAGATATTTGGCTTGGTTCGGCTCAGCAAGAATGAGGAGACAGTCTATCGCTTGTTTTACTCATACAAGAGCATCAGCAGAATTTCTCTTCCTGGCCAAGGCTCAATAGTAGCAGGAAAGCAAAGGTAGAGTGGAGCTTTATCACATTTGCAGTATGCTGGGTTATCTGGAATGAAAGAAACAGGAGAAAGTTCAAGAATAAGCACAAGAGTATTGAACTGCTAATTTCCATGGTTGAAATTGGTACTCTACTTCTCAAAACAAAAATTGGTATCAGATTGGATCTTAGAGCATACAGAATTTGGTCAGATTAGGAGATCAGAATTGGGGGAAATTTTCTGGTGTCCTTGATTTACAGACTTGTAATGTTGATCAGTTTTCTGTTTTGTAAAGTGTCCTTTGCTTTCTAGTTGTTTGGTTCTGGTAGGGTGTCACCTTGACACCTCTCAGTTTGTATGTCTCCTTTTATTTCAATTAATGGAATATTTTTATTTTTACTCTTCAAAAAAATAGCAGTCTTGCAAGGGGTGCACATTGATATAGACCTAACTATGACAGGTTGTTGATTCAAGGTGACTCTAAATTGGTAGTAGAGTGGCAGAAGGAACCGGAAACAGTGATTTGGAATTACAGGGAATCAATGAAAAGATTTAAATGGTTCATTAGAGACATGACATTTATTATCCAATGGGAATGGAGGTAAGAAAATGGGATGGCTGATAATTTTGCAAAACTGGGGATGCATAAGTCTGAACTTTTTCTGGCTCAGTTGTAATTCTGATTCTGTAATGGGGGCTACACCTCGCACCTTTGTTGTGTTGCTTTATTGTAACACTTTATCTTATCTTTAATAGAATTTCATTATTTATCAAAAAAAAAAGTTAAACAGAGTCAGATAAGGAGATAACAAAAGATCACCCATCCTTGTCAGGGTTAATAGAATCTTAAAAATAAAATGACCTAGAAAGGGGATGCTCCTGTCTCACCAATGCGTGCATGATGAATCTGCCCCTTTCACCATGATACTGTGGCAATGATGTGGGCATCAAATTGGTCTTGTAGTCTTTTTCCCCTTTTTAGATGGTAAGCAGAAATTTTCATTAAGATAAAATAACAAGGTTGCATCCACATTAAGAGTCTAGAATTTCTGTTTTTTCCTTGTTTTTATAAATTTTGGTTCATAGGAATAACTTAGTTATTTTTACATCCTTGATGTGGGGTCTGGTCATTGTTAAAGTTCATTCAAAATTTTGAAGTCAATGGTCAATAAATTAGAAGCTGCAATTTATCATAAATAAATAAATTAGAAGCTGCAGTGGTTTTGGTTTCTCTTAATAGGGTATGCAGTAGCAATTTCATAATTACGGCAAACATTAATCCAAACCAACCTAGTTAAGCTGGGCATATTTTTTACCATCTGTCTTTGCGGAAGAAAAAATAAAAAAATAGAATTTTTCCAAAGAGCTTGTCTTGGTGTTCTCTTTGTAAATCCTGATTCTCTTCTATTTCTCTCTCTAATCTACCACTATCTTCTACTCTCTTCTCTTCCAACAATATCAAAACTAGTGATGTGGGAGCTGAAATTTATCCATTCTCCTTTTCTTTCTTTTTTGAGAAAAGATAAGGTGAATTTTTATTAATTGGTCAAATCATCTACAGCTGCTCCCACATTTGGACGCACCCAATAGATACTTATAACATTTCATCCCACCAAATCTCATCTCAATTCCACCTAGAACCCTAGATTTCATAATTTTTTATGTTTCTTCACAACCTAGAATTTTCGTCCTTATGCAAGACAGGCTCGAAACTACACCAAACTTGATCAAGCATTTACATCCATCTAGGGCAAATTACCAACAAGGTTTCATTGAAAATTTCCAATCATAAAGACAGAGACATATTTCCTTCAATTTTAAACTTTTTACAGTTTAAGAACAAAACTGGAATAATTGTAGTCAAGCATTGAGACCCCTCCTAACCTAACCTAATTGCCATTTGCCAATTAATTTATTTCTAGATTCACCCTTGCTGCCTTGCATCATTCTAGCCTTACATCAAATCGGTATCAAAGTTATCAATTAGGGAGTAACTTGGATGGGCTCAGGTTAAGCTTTTGTTATGTTTTGAATGGGCCAGGCCGGCAGGCCCAGGCACATGCCCAATATAGTGCACAATCTTCAACTCAGGTACCTAAGTTATGTCCCTAACATCTATTGGTATCAGAACAGGCAATCTTACATCACCCTAATTATTTAAATCCAAGCAATCTCCATACACCAGCATATCCTATAGTCCATAAGACCATACCCCAGCTGTGCATCTTAGAAAAGCTCTTAACTCCATTACTCTGTCTTGGTTAATGGAGTGGTGAAAGACTTCTTCACAGCCTGTAGAGGTATCAGGCAAGGGGACCCTCTATCACCATTCCTCTTCACTCTAATAGCAGAGGTGTTTAGTAGAATAATCTCAAAGGCTGATAGAGAAGATGTGATTAAAGGGTGGAGAATAGGGAGGGATGGTATTCCGGACACCCATCTCCAATTTGTAGATGATATTCTGATTTTCTGTGATGGGGATGATATGGAGAGAGTGAGAAATCTCAAGTATTTGGTTAGAAGCTTTGAGAGATTGTCAAATTTGAGTGTCAACTTCGAAAAGAGTTGTGTAGCTGGTATTAACTTGGAGGATAGGGAGGTGGAGTTTATAGCAAGAAGCTTGGGATGTTCTATCTCGTCCTGGCCTATGACTTACTTGGGGCTTCCGCTAGGGGCAAACCCTAGGGAGAGTAGCTTTTGGTGTCCAGTGGTAGAGAGGTTCCAAAAGAAGTTAACATCGTGGAGGAAAAACTACTTATCCTTGGGGGGTAGAATCACATTGATAAGAGCCACACTTGCTAACTTACCAACCTATTTCCTATATGTGTTTAGGATGCCACCTAGGGAAGCTAAGAAGCTAGAGAAGTTGATGAGAGATTTTCATTGGCAGCCGAGGAAAAGTAAAAAGGATCACTTGATAAAATGGGAGGTGGTATGCCGGAATAAAGAGGAAGGGGGATTGGGGTTAGGGAATTTGATTAAAAAATAAATAAAGCATTGCTGGGGAAGTAGCTGTGGAGGTGGCCAGTGGAGAGAGAGAGACTTTGGCATGAGGTGGTGGGTAGTATTCATGGTCGCTCAGAAAATGGATGGGATTCTAGAGTATCACGGCGGGCAACCTTGGCAACACCTTGGAAAGCTATTCATGGCATTCTTCCTCAGTTTCTCAGTTTTGTCAGGTATGATGTTTGCAATGGTAATTCAGTCCTATTTTGGGAGGATACTTGGGTGGGAGAGGCTCCATTGAAGGACCTTTTCCCTTCTTTGTTCTCTGTTTCAAGGTATAAAAAGCATTCTATGTCAAAGTTTTTTTCCATTATGAATGATCCTTTAACACCAAATTGGGACTTTGGGTTTCGTAGAGGATTAAGGAAAAAGGAAATTGTCTCTCTCATAAATCTGGTAAGTCTACTTGATACAGTATGTTTGGACCCTTCTGAACCTGATAATCAGATTTGGACACCCCAGTGGAATGGATCCTTTTGTTGCGCTTCTTTCTTTAAATCCATTCAGTCTACCCCCAACCAGCCTTTCTCTTTTAAGGAAATTTGGTGCAGGCCTGTCCCCCCTAAGGTTATGGCTTTTTGCTGGGAAGTGTATTATGGGAAAATAAACACCTTTGACATTCTACAAAAGAGAAAACCTTTTCTCTGTCTCTCACCTTCCTTGTGTATTCTTTGCAAGTCACATGGTGAGGAATATAACCATGTACTAATATCTTGTTCATTTACTGTAGAGTTATGGAAGTGGCTCTTCTCATTGTCTGGGTGCAGGTTGGTTAGACCAGCAGATGCAAGTTTGTTTTTTGATCCTGCTTTCTTCCCTTGGCGGCACAGAAGARGAAGAATTATGTGGAGGTGTGCAAGAGCAGTGCTGATCTGGTCCGTGTGGGAAGAAAGGAATGCCAGAATTTTCCAAGAGAAGGAGAGAAGCCCAAAAGAGATGAAGGACTGCATCCTAAATAGGGTGATCTTGTGGCTAAAATCACTGGACCTATTCCATCAATTCTCATTTAATGATGTTTAGAGGAATTGGTTAACAGTGGCTAATTGTTCATCAATAAAGACTAAAGTGAGTATGGCTTGGGAACCCCCTCCTGAAAGATTCTTGAAGCTGAATTTCGACGGAAGTAGTCTTGGTAATCCTGGTGCGTCAGGGGTGGGAGGGGTACTGAGGAATGAGAGTGGGAATTTGGTTCTTCTTTTCTCAGGACCCATAGGAGTTGGAAACTCTACTAGGGCGGAACTTGCTGCTGCTATCCAGGGAGTACAGTTAGCAGTGCAGATAGGTGTGGAACAGTTGATAATAGAAGGGGACTCCAAGGTGGTAGTGGGCTGGCTACAAAATCCAGAATCTATAATGTGGTGTTTTAAGAATGAAATTAAAAAATTCAACTGCCTAACAAGAAGCTTGACAGTGAGAATACAATGGGTGGGGAGATCAGCAAACTCTATGGCTGATGGTCTTGCAAAGCAAAGGGTAAATAGGGAATGTTTGTATTGGGCTCAATTGTATACTGAATCTGTTTCCTATCTTTTGTCTTTCTTCCTACTGTTAGGAGAGGACGCAGCTTGTGCCTCTCCACGGGAAGCTTGTAACTGCACCAGTTTTTATTAATGGAATTTATCCTTCTTATTTATCAAAAAAAAAAAAAGAAAAGCTCTTAACTCAGTTTTAGCACTTGACCAATTGTGGAGCTAAATAATGATATATGAATCATAATTAAAAGAAAATAAAAATTTTTCTTCATTTTTCCCCTCAAATGAACATCTTCCTCACATGCCTGTAGGTGAAGCTTCTTAGGCACCCTGAAATTCTATTATGTATATATTTTAAGATTTATAAAATTTTTCAAAACTTAGTTTTGCATGAAGGAAACAAAGATAAGTGCATAGTTTTAGTCCAAGAAAATATTGAATCACAAACTTCATCATATATATTATACATTAAATGCAGAGAGGGAAATAATCTATTAGCACATCTATATATTAGAGATTCAATCAGGTTCTCAATGAGACTCTCAACTAGCCAAAATTATTAGTTTTAGATACGGATTTGAATAGGTCAGGGTGGAACACTCATTTAGCAATGTTTAACCTTAAATTGTCTTCCAACATTCAACCACGGTTTAAAATGTCCCTAATTTCCCTAATATTTCGACAACATATTTCCACTTCCATGGGTAGCGACACGAAATTTTACCAGAATCGACATTTCCCCAATGAACACTACCAACACCATGTGGAGTAGCGACATGAAACTTTACTAGAATCAACATATTCCCCAGTGAACACTACCACTACTATGTAGAGTCCAAGAGATAATATTATAACGTAAGGTGGTACACTATTGTAAATATGTTAAGTAACAATGTTATTGTCCACCTAACTTACATGATTACCACTTTGAGCAAGCTCAATATTCATTTTAAACATGAAGTTAAATATTAGTTTTTGTTTGTATAATACATTATTTGGTTGATTTATTACAATCATTTACATTTTCCGTGAGTTAAAATTTTTCTTGCTCTGAATCTTAAAGTTAACAGGGCAACTTCAAAACATATTCTTTGTCTATAACCTTAGTTTCTTAGCTTTGTTTAATGATTTTCAACAAGAAAATAAATTAAAAAGGTGTGACTATGCTTCTTTTATCATTTCATAAAATATCTTTCTATATTTTGTATATTTTAAAATGTTTCCACCATGTTTATAATTTTTACAATATTTCCATACGATATTTCCGACATGTTTCTTATATTTGGATGGCCGATATTTCCACCGACATCGAAATTTTAAACCTTGCTTTCAACCACTAAGTCACCAATAATATAAACACTGATTAGGAGCCAGAAGAACCTTGCAGCACAATCTAGAAATTACCATTGTCCAAATCATAACCAAGACGAAATCTTATCTATTTCTACTTACATAACTATGATGGGAGTGCTAGAAGTGAAGTCAATGGTTACTTTTATCAAATCATGGTTCTTGGATACCCAGGTCCCTCTGGTATTGGAGAGGTGTTCAGAGATGTGAAGGCAGAATTATTGGACTATTTTAAGGCCTTGGAGTAGGTGACTCCTTAAGGTTTGAGGTTATGGCTGTCATAGGGGCTGCAAAAGGCAAAGGACATTAAGGTAAGAAAGCTGATTCAAAGTTGGTAGTGGAGTGGCTGCGAAAGGAAGAAAATAATTGTTTTGGGCTAAAACTGGTAGCGGAGCAATTCAAAAGCTGGCACAAAATATGGATGTGAAATTCAGTTGGGTTAAAAGAGCTGCTAGTGGATTTGCCAATGTATTAGCGAAACAAGGGTTTGGAAGGAATAAATTGTTTTAGGCTCAATTGCAATAATAAATTTCTTTGTGGAGAGTTAAGAAAGTTTATCTCTTCTAATCTTGTATTTATCTTTTTATATTTCAATGAAATTCTGTTATTGATCCAAAAAATTAGTGGTTCTTCAGATTTTCAGAACAATTTTCAACCTGTAGGTAAACCATTGATTAACAGAAACCAAGGAAATATAGTTAATGAACATGTCTAATGCTAATATGTACCAGTAATGACATCCTAATTCCAAACACAGATATAGTAGAAATATTCTAGTCCTGTGTTACCAAGTCATACTTCAATAGGACACATCTCAGCCAAGAGGAAAAGAATGAAATTGACCCAAAAAAAAGCATCAGAAAAACCATCCTAATACAAAGCCTGGATTCTTGAATAAATAAGAAATCAATAATTGTAGACCATAAGTTTTACGTCCACAGACATACCAAGATTCACGTCCATCAAGTAAACATGCTCTCCACTATAGCTAAGAAGAACTTCTTCATCATTTGGACTAAAAGTAACATGAGTCAGGTGCAAGCTTGATCTTCCCTAAAAATAAAGAAAAAAAAAATTGAAACTACTACAATGATCAACATTAAGTCTAATAAAGAATCACAATAATTCCAGAATAAAATTTAAGTAGAAAATCGCTCTTTCTATGATACAGTATTTTTTTATGTTTATTATATTCAAATTAAGAAAGTAAAAATCCCCTATACTTGTAAAAAAAAATCAAGATTTAAAAGCAATGTGCAGCATGTAACTGACCCAAGCTGCCAGTCTAATATACAAAGAAATATAGATAAATAAACTCAGTCACATTGATGCAACCCTAACTAAGTGCACTCTTCCCACCTTGCGAAGGAGGAATGCTTAACTGAACTCATCTCAGATAACTCCAACAAGGAAAAGGAGAAATACAAGAAAAAATAAATAAATACATGTCCATACTGAACACAAAACCAGAACTACAGGGACAATCTATCCACAACTTCAAGTTCTGAATGCACCAAGATCAACTCCACAATTAAAGAAACCACATCCACCACATAACACCAACTAACCAAGGCATACAAAGAAAAATTTCTGCTTCTCTCCTTAAAAAATGCCCCAAATTTGATAATCACAATGAACCATGACTCCATGACCATAATCCCAAACCATCAACCACTAGCATACTCCCAGAATATCTTCCTCTCATCTTTTTATCAGCATTACTTAACTCCTACAAATAATTTTGATTGAAATATTATCCTCCAACTTATCAAATCCCTTTACTCCCTATCCTCTTACCATATGTCCCACTTGCCACATCTAACCACTCCACCCTCCCCATCCTCTACATCCATCCACCTTAAATCTCCATCCCACCAACAGAGTGGCTACCTTCATAAACTCCTACACTTGAGGCTACCACCAATTGAAAAGGTGTGGTTGAGGTGCGCCTAGGTATACACTTGAGGCACATTTCAAGGCTTGTGCCTCACCTAGGCCCAAATGCAGCCACTTTAGAAAGGTCTGTGCCTAGTGTCTCAGCCCAGGCAAGCACCATTGTTAAATTTGGCGCTTTTTGCACTTTTTAAGTATGGTCTGGGCTGCGAACTCTGCCCCAGGATTCCCAACCGAGCCCCTTGAGGCAAGCCCAAATAAGTCCATGGTAGGGTCTTAAATCACAAAACCAATTTTGTAAGTAGGGATTTAGAATAAGACCTTAGCATGGACTTATTTGGGCTTGCCTCAAGGGGCTTGGTAAAAAGTAGCTTGTACAGTGCGTCAGTGCCGACATGAACATCTCTGGATTCCAAATGAACATCTCATTCAAATAGATGCCAGGATTGGCTTATTCTCTAACTGACAGCTTGGTGAAGGGATGTATCATGAGGAGGAAATTTTACCAACAAACGATCAATCAATTCCATGATAGCCTGTACAGTGCCTATCATTTTTTGTCTCCTTTCTTATATTTTCAATGAATACTATAATCTTCAATCAAAATCAAAAGTATGGGAAAGGGGGGAAAGAAAAGAAAAGAAAAGAAAAGAAAGAAAGACACAAATCTTTACTTGCATTTCAGAGAAGCTTCTACTTTGATCATTTTCTCGTAGGTTACATCCATTTTGTTTTGCCAATAGGTTAGATCCAATTTATGAAATAAAAATCTTATTCATGTTCTGTGTCGAGGATATGGAAAAAGAGGAATAGGATAAATAATTTCACAACATAGTAATTCATTTCCAAGTATTTGATTAAATACTGGAAGTTTTTGGCCAATCATCATCATCCATTATGAAAGCATTCAAGCAATGTCTGACTCAGAGCAGGATGTCTCAAAATTAGGCAAAATAATACTGCAAGAACCAGTCAGAAGATTCAAAAGATGAAACCTAAGCAAAAAAGATAATTTAAGTTCAACCATGTTGAGAAAGTTGTGAACTAACACGTTCAGAAAGATGCATTGGACAGAAATAATTGACACAGGGAGGTGGCTTCATCTTTTTCTGTGAGGAACTCAATGGTGAAAGCATCCTTCTATCATATAAACGAGCAAAGGCATCACTGCAGACATTTATAAATGATTATCAGTCAATACAAGGAATAGACAGAGAGAGAGAGAGATTGAGATTCAAAAATTTTTAATTCATACAAGGAACACATGCATGTGCATGCTGAAATTTGCTTTTGCAAAGAAAACCAACTTCATAAAAGTACCTGCCACCAACAAGAAGCAAATGTGGCCGAGTAGAACTAATGTCACAAGATTTTAAAGCAAGACACTGTTTAGGAGGATCAGCTAGTGACTTCTTTGCTCCACACCGCAAGTCAAGCTGCCATTAGGTAACAAATGCTGAATACATACCATAGAACCAAGTCCAGGTAAACAAGACAAAATTTAAACAAAAAAAAAAAACAATAAACTGTACAAGTCAATTATACATGAATATACATGTCATCAATTATCATATCCAATGTTTTAAAACATGGAGGCGTGCCGCGAGGTGTTCCACTACCTAAAGGCATGAGGCATAATTCAGAATGCAAGAGGTGTAAGCCTCCCGGACACAAGGAAGCGTAAGCCTCCTTAAGAGGAGGGGGTTAGGAGGAGGAAGGGGAGGAGGATGAAGAAGAAGGGGGGATCTCATTTTTTCTTTATTTTTAATAAAAATCTTTTATATTAAGAAGAATAAAGATGCATAACATTAGTTGAAAGGGGGGTCTGGGGGGCGAAGCCCTTGCCCCTAATGTTATGCATCTTGAAAAAATGAAAAAAAAAACTTTTTTTGTCTTTTTATATAAGATGTGCATGAGGCGTACGCCTCTAGCACATCTCATGAAAAAAGCGCATGAGGCATACGCCTCAGGGGATAAATATTTCAGTGCAAGAACACCATTAAGACAGTGTTCCTTCCCTTCGACTGCAATGCACAATGCACTAAAAACAAATACAACAAATTATAGGACAAACACCGTTTTATTGTGTGGGGGTTGGGGGGGCAAAGGGTACGGCCTAAAAAGGCCTACCACACACTCATTGAGGAAAATGGGTTTTCTTTTTCTACAACAGAAACATGTCACTTATTGCAATGTGTGGCCGCTGCATGGAGCCAACTAGCTACGACATAATCACAAGATTTTCTTGTTTCCATTGTGGAAGTTTAAGGTCTTCAGGAGAGTGTTATTTTTCTTCACTGGTTAAGTAGTTCATCTTTCCACAACCACCAATATACAACTTTGTGAATTGAGACCACTCCAGGACCTTGTTTCTATCAAGTTTACAGTAGTTAGGGGCTACCTCCAATCCCCAAAACATATCCAGACCAAGGTTCAAAGTATTGATACACACACCAATGCGCCAGAATGGGTGCATCACTACTTTGTACCTAATAGAAGCTGTTTTTTTAGTTTTTGTTTTCAAAAATAGGTCAGGGCCTCAAGGGTGGGTCTTATTCCTGTCTACCTCCCCCCCGAAACTCAAAGGGCCAAAGGCCAGTATTTCCTGTTTTGGACCCACAGCAATATGATACAATACACCAATACAGGGCATATTGTGTTGAATTTTGAACCATGATCCAAATCCCTTTGACTCTCCAATTTCTACCATAGAGCAAGAACCAGGCAACAAAAAAACAATGTTCAGAGAAGTAGAGAACCGGACCAGGCATAGAACCGGAGAAGGGAGAGGTTCAACCGGGGTCGAACCGTGATGATGTGACATATACATATATACTATGGGTCATACAAATACTATATATAATATATTTTACAACTTCTATTATACTTAAATATGGTGGATAGATGGTAAGCTTCTTAAATTTTAAAACAAATTGCTAGGGTTCAAGCCTTTTAATTTACATTTTCTTTAAAATATGTGCATAATATAATATGTACAATAAAGAGTCATTAATTAACATAAGTAAAAAGGTGGATTAGTGGTAATTAAGCAATATGTAAAAATAAGAGGTCTTGGGTTCAAGTCTTGTTAACTACGTTTTAAAATTTCACTTACATATGGACCCGGGTAGTTTTATGAAATCAAAACCAGTTCACAAGTTTTCCAGTTAAACCGGCCAGTCAGCCGGTTTTCACCAGGTTTTGAGCAAGTCTGGTTTTTCGGGTGTGACCAAACTGGTCAGGATCCTAGGTCACGATTCAACCGGTTCACCCAGCTGGTCTGGTCCAGTTTTCTAAAGACTGCAAAAAACCAATACAGCAATCAACAGCTCAATCAAAAAGCCAGAGAACGCAGAAAATAGTCACCAATTACACTAGGGAATCAGATTCGCTACACAACATAAGGAGAACAGAACCAGGCCTAGGTGACAAAAATAGGAGAGAAAACAAGGTACCGAATTACCAAAATTTCATCAAACTGAGAAAAACCAAGTTTGGACTAAAGAGGAACTTCATATGGTTCAAACAATGTAACTCATATAGCAAACAACATCCCATCTCCAGAGAACTGAATGAAACAATCAAATTTGGCTTTTTTCAATTTCCTCAGAAAAATTCCAGTAAAATATCAAAATCCCATTAACAGGCTGAAACATAATCAAAAAACATTTAAAATCATATCAGATCAAAATTTAGGGTTTTTCACGGTAGGAGGATTTGCCAACTATACAGTCTGCTGAAGTCAGCAGTCGGCTGTGATGGTGTCAGCAGTTGATCCCAGCCACCATAGTTGAACTCCCTTCAGTAGTTTCCATAATACCAACTTGTGCTTCAATGGTAAGAAGTAAGATGAAGAAGAGAAAAAAGAGGGAAGGTGAGAGAGAGAGAGAGAGAAAAGAAGGAGAGAAAGATTTTGGGGAAGACAGAAGAACTATTGGACATAGCCCTATTCATTGTAATATATACGTGATTACAGAAACTACAAATACACCCTCTAATACACTTAAACATAAATATGACTAGATTACCCTTACTTAAATACCACTTTCAACAGTCAGATGTGATTCTGGGCATAGTGTCCTAAATTACACTTAAAAACAACTTATCCCATCTATCATCAATCAAAAATCTGTCCAGCTTCAAGAGAGGAGCATCTCTATGGTTATTCCATGTATAAGCACACCCTGCAATAGAATATCAATCAAATAACATATATTCACGATCTCTTCAGTCTTGCATGTCTGAGGTGAGCCATTAACCTCCTTTTTTTTCTTAAAACTGAAATTTATAATTTTTTTATCAATAATAATTGAAATGTATAATGTAAAAATCCCCACCTACACACCAAGGGGTGTTCCACTTCCACCCCTGAGCTATATTGTTCAATCCCCCTCAAAAACATCCCTTTGGCTACTCTCGTTCAGCCCATACACTGTTGTCAACACCCATCAAGCTCCATCTGCCAAATTGCTACATAAGATTGAAATAGAAAGTAGACCAACAAACTGACCTAACACTGAGAACATGTCTTTGTACCACATCAATAGAATGAATCCTGAAGCCCCTATGAAGGATGAAAGGTCCTTCCAAACCAAACTCAAACCCCAGATCTCTACCACGTCTACCCCTTGAATCATCAAAGTATCTACTTTATTTATTTATTTATTTATTTATTTATTTACTTTGATAGTTATCAGGGTATCATTTCATTAAATATAAACAAAGATTTACAATGAAGAGCAAACAAGGTATAAATACCCCTAAAATACAGTCATTACAAATGAGCCCAATAAAGTCGCTACCTATTTACCCCTTGCCTTCTAAGGAATTTGCCAACCCATTAGCATCCCTTGGAACCCACTGAAAAACTACTGTTGCTCTCCTTAATAACCACTTGATTTTCTTCACCACTTCTCGATAAGTCCAGGCTGCCTTCTTTTCATTCTTTATCCAGCTTACCACTACTTTATTTTCTTTATGGTGTTTTTGAACTCAGAGCTCTAGCAAGGATCGCTAAGCCTGCATTCAAAATCAGAAGTCTCATAATCGGGGTAGGCCATCAACAGTGTTTTTTATAATAATAAAAATTTTCATTGAAATAAAAATGAGAATTTAAGATAAGGTGATAATAACATTCTTCCCAGCTGTACAAAGTTTAACCCTTATTTAGTATGCAATGTTGAAGATTTTGATGGTGCAAGAGAGAATCAAATTTGATGCAAGTATTCAGTGGAGCTAACCATGAAGAGTTAAGATTGAAAAACGAAATGATTGTACAAAACGAAAAGGAAAAAAATCATAACTAAAGACTCACTAGAATATTGTGACATTCTTGGTGAGAAGAGCCAGCTGGTGGACATGAAGCACTCTCCCGGAAGTCATGTTGCCTCAATGTCCCATCTTCACTTGCACTCATTACTACATTAGGATTTCCAACTTCCACCTGTCACATGAACAGAAATTGCATAACTAATGAGGATCAAAGCATGCATGTGAACATTGGCATTAACAAAACCAATCCCCCTCCCAATGAACAAGTTAGAATCTCAACATTTAATACTTCCATTTGCAAATAGAAACTGAAAGGAAGCTCCTATTTCTCCGTCATAAGAAAAAACCATTCAGAGTAAAATACAAAAAAAAAATGAAAAAGATGTTTATTAGGATGATATCTTACAGCTAACTTCTTAACTCTCCTATTATGACAATGAAACACTGCTGAAGGTGCAATAGAATTTTCTTCAAGTGTTCTCCCACTTAAATGAGATAAATGGAACAAGCGAACCTGAAAAGAAATCAGTAAACACATTTACAAAAATTTTCAACTAGATGCAGGAAAACATGGTTTTTTGAAAACAATGAAGGTTGATTTACGTAGAACATTACTTCTGAATCTCCAGCACCAGAAACAACAAGCTCATCAGAAGTCTCTGGAACAAATTTTGTACAAAATATATTGGCAGTATGCCCAGTATCAATACTGTGCAAAAGCTTCTGGCTTGAGTAGCTCCAAATGTTAAGCTGCGGAAAATGAAAACACATAATATGTAAAACTACAAATACAAGAAGGCATGAACAATTTCAATTAATTTTGAACACTTAGTTATGGAACAAAGGGCAGCATAAACAAAGCAATAGGAATACATGTTAGCGACTAGACAACATATAAACTGTCATATTAAGGACCATTAGGCCCATTACCAACTGATTATCCTGGCAATCCAGAAGGGTAGACTGGATGCAGACCTAACCTTTAACTCTTTATTTTTTATTGTTATTTTTTTGGGCACAAAGTGGACACTCTCAGACTCAAACTTGTGTTTGAACACTTGTCAGACCAAGAATTTAACATTACACCAAGCAGTGACCCAATGGCAAGTTTTGGTAGTCAAACACAACTTTAGTGCCTGAGCATGGGGTTGATGATAGGAAGAGTGCATGACTTCTTCCCAACCTCAAGTGTGCATTTCAATACCTGTCAGACCAAGACTTTCCAATTGATCAAATGGTTCCCCTTAGAGTCTCCTGGTTCCGACAAGAAATCTCTCATGATCTTTCCTAACCTCTTAGTCACTGAGGTATGAATCCCAAAAATCGAGAGGCAGTAAATGGATAGACTAGCAAAAGGTAGATTTGGTCAAGGTTAATCAACCTCCAAGAGATATATTCCAACCACGGGCATCTTATAGTGGAAACATATACCATGGGCATCTCAGAGTAAGGGGCTGTTTGGGGGGTCTGGGCACTTGGACAATTTGTAGGGAAATCAATTATTTAGCAAGGAAGACGGGTTTTTTTTTTAGGTGGATCAGGAGATCAGTGGACAGCTTAACTAACACTTTGTCAAAACAAAGGGTTTCTAGGGAGAATTTGTTCTGGGCCGTGTTGTAATTTGTTTACCTCGGGGTCAGTCAACACCTGACCTAGTTCTGGATGGTTGACAGTTGTATTTCTTTGATTTCCTTAATGAAAAACTGTTTCCAATGAAAAACAATACTAATGTTAATTGGACCTGTAGATGACATATTGGTGAACTTATGGATACTGTATGTTTGTTGGAAAAAAATAATGTCTCATGGAGAAATAAGAAGCACTTACTGGTTGCTCAATTTAGTGTGAAAACCAAGTGAAGATAAATGGCCCGTGGTGTATCAAAGTTACTATGGTTGAAGAGTCTTCTTACTAAAATGGGTGTTTAGTTTAAGAGACCTATGACACTTTATTGTGACAATTAAGCAGCTACAATAATGACTCATAATCCTGTTCAGAAAAGGCCAAACCAAGCATATAGAAGCGGGTAGAAATTTTATTATGAACAAGTTGAAAGTGTGTGTTTGCAATTTCTGAATTCAGAGGATCAATTGACCGATTGGTTGAGGAAATCTATTCCCAAGTACAAGCTAGAAGACGATCTATGCAAGCCAGGGATGTAAAACATCTATGCTCAACTTGAAGGGAAGTTTTGAGTAGTCAAGGGTCTTTCAGTCTTTGTGATTGCAATTGCATTATGTAATCAGGGCTTAGCGATTATTATACCCTATTAGTATATAAATTAATGTAGCAAGCAAGTGATCCAAGATTGGTTCACACCCTTTCTTTCATTTTTCTCTCTTCCTCGTGTATCATTCTCTTTCTTCTGTATTTCTCTCTGCATCTTTTCCTCCATCTTTTCTCTTTTCTCCTACTACTGATGCATCATCACTAAAACACAAGTAGCCTTACCCATTACAGGAGCACCTAAAAGGAAAAAAAAAACAACTATAGGGAAAAAGATGGATCAGTTGAATAACAAAAGAACACATAAAGTAGCTGAATTATACCTGTGTATCATCTGATCCAGATATCAAAAGTGAGCCTTTTGAATTCCATGCCACAGCATTCACACAACCCTGATGTCCCTGTTAAAATGCCAAACATGATTTAAGAAGGCATTTAAGAACAGAGGAGAAAACCTATGAGAAATATGATAATCCCAGCCAAGCGGTATTAGGGATGCAGTGCCCACAAGAGAACAGCTATATAATTACAACCAGAAACAAAAGCATATGAACATAACCAACAGTGCAACACAAACAAGAGAAAACAACAGCCTCTTTACCAGTTAAGTTCCTATGTTGCCCAGATACAACAAGGACACATATGAAATAGATGTTGGATACAAAAAGAAAAGAAAAGAAATATCCTAGGTGATATGCTATCCTTTGAACAGGTATCCAGGAATCATAGATCATGGCTGCTGACTTTTCCATTGATCTTTCATGCTCATCATCATAGAGGATGATATGCAAAGAAAACATGTGATTCAGAACTAAGTTAATATGACATTTCAGCATAAATGCACCACAACTACTTTTCCATTGATCTTTCATGCCCATCATCATAGAGGATGATATACAAAGAAAACATGTGATAAAAAGTGTCAAGTCCCAGAAAGGGAATAGTGGTTCTCAAAGCAACCAAAATTTGATGCTACATTAAGGGGGTGTTCTCCAATGTGAATTGTTTATCTTGTTGTGAATTCCAAAAACAAATCAAAACCATCTGGTTTGGAAACAAATTGTAGATTTTCAACCCTTTCTCCAAAGAAGACATAAAGGGCTAACAGGTAATAGCTGACTTAAGCCTTGACAGTCAAAGAGTTGTAAGCAAGTGGAGACCTTCAACCTCTAGGTCATTTAAACTTAATTTTGACAGCTGCAGCATGGGCAAAAGATATGTCAGGTGCTTTTATTGCTATCTACTCTAACCCTTGGTCAAAAAACCTTGCCAGGTGCTATAAACAAGTCTTTTTGGGGCAAGTTTAATATTAGCAAACTTTGAGCTAGGAAACATTCTCATTATATATGATCCCAGGATCAACCAACTCATATTAATTGGATTTCTGCAGCGAAAGAGCTAGTGAGCTACAATTCGTAGTGTGCGATGAGGATGGGGTTAGAGCCTTAAAGGGATGGAGGGAGTAACTAAGTAGGCTTCACCTTAACAGTCATATGTGCTTGTAACAAATAAACTAGTAGAAAATAATGCACCTAAAAAACCGCAGACCCAAAGCCTAATCAAAGAAAAGCATACATGTACGACTTTTATTTACCTTAAAGCATCTACTTTCACAATATTTATACTTTATAGTCCCCCATGCCATTTTCTGGGGACCGTGGAAGGAGAGAAATAAAAGGATTTTTGAGAAAGAAAGCTGGGCTCTGGACAAGGTGGTGCAACAAGTCGTGGCTTCAATCCATACCTGGCTTTCAGCCACAGACCTCTTTAGAAGAACTCCCCACAATCAGTATTTTGAAAACAGCATCCTTGTTGGCTAATCAGATAAGCTGATCAGTTTTTTGAATCCTGCTTTCAATTTTTTTTTTGTTAAAATGATTTTTTTTGAGAAAATTTAACCAAGATTCATTAAAGGAAGAAGAGGTACATGAGAAGATGCACAAAGCAGGGGAAGAACCCCTACAAATTACAAAGGAGGAAGCTTGTCGCTATACAAATGCTCCAAATACACACCACATTTGGCTAAATCATCCGCAGTATGATTGTGTTCCCTAGGAATCCAAACTAATTTTACATTTAAACAGTCCAAAGAGTCCCTAGCCTCTGCCAAATAGTGACTCAATCTCCAAGGTCCCCCCTCTTTGTCTCCTAACCATTTTATAGTATTTTCTGAATCACCTACAATGACTAAATTCTGGATTCCCAAATTTTTTATTATTTTGATTCCTGTGAGAGCTGCCACCACTTCAGCCTTTGTAGAATCAGCCAAACCAATTGGACCACTAAAAGTCCAACATATGTTGCCCCTTTCATCCCTTACTGTACCTCCAATACCAGCTAAGCCAGGTTTACCTAAGGCACTTCAATCGAAGTTTAGGGTCACTCCTTCACTGATGGGGTCAGGATGCCTCAAGGATGTCTGATGGAGGTGAGGGAGAAACAAAAAAGGGTAAGCAATATCTGAAATTAACTCCTCCAGGGGTAAACACCTCTATTGAGATAATTGACTGAGAGTCCTTTGAACAGATCTGAGTTCACTGTCCAGAGGTTGCAAAGGTAAGTAATATCTGAAATTAACTCCACCAGGGGCCTGAATTTGTTGTCAAAGAGGTGTTTGTTTCTTTCATCCCAAACTCCCCACAACACTGCATGTAGCACTGATTGCCAATAAACTTTACCCCTTTTACTTAACCCTGTTCCTTGTCATTGATGCAAAGAGTCCATAGTGTGCTTTGGTATAACCCAGCTGTACCCTGCCATTTTCAAGAAACGGAACCAAATCTTTTGGGTGAATTTGCAGTGAAGAAAAATGTGATCTGCTGATTCACCTTCACTGAAGCATAAAATGCAAACATGAGGAGAGATGGACAATCTTCCCAAAAACTTTTTCTGCAAGAGATCACAAGTATTTAATTTTTGGAGACAAGCTTCCCAGACAAAGAAACAAACTCTTGAAGGGATGTGGCTACACCAGATCTTCTTAAAAGGAAAGGAGAAATATTGTTCATCAGCAATCAAAACCCTGAACATAGACTTAGAAGAGAATTCGCCAGTAGGGTGCAAGGTCCAGATTCGGGTGTCAGAATAGGAGGGGGAGATGTAGGCTTCTTTAAGGGTCTGAATTAAGTCTATTAATTCAGAAATCTCTGAATCCATTAGGGGTCTTCTGAGGCGAAGGTTTAGGGTGTTTTCAATGGTTTGGTCTGGAAGGCAGGAAGAAATAGTGGCTTCTTGATCAAGCGTAAGGTTAAAAAGTCTAAGGAAGGAAGCTGCAAGGGTAGTTTCCCCCCACCAAAGGTCTTTCCAGAATGTTAAAGCCACTTCCCACTTTATATCTTATAAAGGAAAGAAAGAAGTATGAGTGGAGATGATACCTTTCCAAGGATTTGTGGACTTTATCCTGTTCAAATGGAGATTGCTATCCCACCCATTTACATTTGATCCATATTTGCTTGAAATGACAGCTGTCCAAAGAGTATTGGGTTCTTTAGGGAACCTCCACAGCCATTTGCCTAAGAAAGAAGAATTTTTCTCTTTTAAGTGTCAAATTCCCAAACCACCTTACTCTTTAGGCTTGCATACTTGTTTCCAACTGACTAAGTGGCTTCTCTTTTTCCCCCCTCATTCCCAAAGAAAGTTCCTTTGAAGCTTCTCAATCTGATTTCTGACTTTGGTTGGAATCTGGAAGATTGTAAGGAAGTAGGCTGGCAAATTTGCTAAGGAGGCCTTTAAGAGAGTAAGCCTTCCCCTTTTGAGAGATAACACTTCTTCCAAGATGATAGTTTCTTCTCACATTTCTCCACCACTGGTCTCCAGAAGTTGAGAGATTTTGGATTCCCTCCAAGAGGCATCCCAAGATAGGAAATAGGAAGATTCTCCTCTTTACACCCCAACAAAGATTTGAAGCTTTCTAGAAATTCCACTTCCACTGAGTTAAAAGCTACTATACTACTTTTGCAAAAACTAACCAATTTGTTTTTGTAAAAGGGAGACAAATTGTGGACAACATTCTAATTGCAAATGAGTGTGTGGAAGACAGAAAATCTTCTAGAAACCCAGGGGTCCTCGTGAAACTAGATCTAGAAAAGGCGTATGATAAAATGGATTGGGATTGTATTTTAGATTGCTTAAAGATTAGAGGCTTTGGTAGAAAATGGATTAGGTGGATTAAAGGTTGTATTGGTTCTTCATGGTTTTTAGTGTTTGATAAATGGTGAAACGAAAGGCTACTTAAAGGCTAGTAGGGGTCTCAAACAAGGTTGCCCACTTTCCCCCTTTCTATTCACTTTGGTAATGGACATCTTTAACTGTCTCTTTGATAAGGTTATTCTCCTTAACTTGGTGAAAGGATTTGAAGTGGGAAGGGACAAGATTCACATTTCACACTTATAGTTTGCTGATGACATAATTTTGTTCTTGGATGCCTCCATAACCAACATCACAAACACTAAAAGGACAACTGAATGTTTCAAATTTATCACTGGTTTGAGTGTTAACTTTTGTTAAAATGATATTTTCGGGATCTTTTTTGTGAATTCTAACGAATAGTTCCTAGTTGTACATGTTTGATCTGTCGACACATTTGTAATCTGTACTTACAATATGCATTAATACAAATCTTTATTTTACCTTCTCTCAAAAAATATTTATACTTTATAGTCACTCAATACATCTCTCTGTTGTTAGAAAAATGGTGATAGTTTAGCCCATCCAACTAATACATGAAATGATTCACACATATAAAAATATAATAAATAACAAATAGAACACCTTGAATTAAGAAACATGGCAATACCGATACACCTTGAGAGAAATTAAGCATGCAGTAAGGGAGATGGTCATCTCAGTTTGCTGGGCACCTAGACCAAAAAAGAACATAGCTGATTCACTTGCAAAACAGGGGCTAAACAGGGAACAGATGTATTGGAGGTGACCAATGAAAACTACATATGAATGATGTATGCTGTCATATGAGGTAACTTAAAAGTGTAGGCTGGGGATCGAGACATCCAAAGAGGCGCTGACAGGCAGTTGTGTATATTTCTCATTCGCTTCTCAATCAATAAAGTTCTCATTCAACTATCAACAAAATAAGCAAATAAAACACTTCAAATCATTATGTAAATGAAGATGATGATGACCTTAGAGTGCAGAGGAAACATTAAAGAGAGAGTTTGGCAGGAAAAAAACGCTCAAAATGCAAGAACAATAAGATTGGTTAAAATGACTAGAAAGCAAATAACAACTCTGTAAAACACTTGGATTTACAATCACACAAACCTCTAGCTCCTTTTCTAAGGAAAGCCTTTGTATCAATGATGAGTGCATTTGCAGCTTCTGATTAACATCCTAATCAAACACCACAAAGAATTATCTTAGTCCTGATCATGTCTAATGAAGCGCAATGATCAAATCAAAGAGAAACAACTTAAGCCAAAAACAACAAATTACCCTGATGCCTCAATGTAATACAATGAAGCATTGGTGCACATTCAAGAAACTAACTAATTCACTAAGTCAATTATGTAGTAATATTTCAACATGTTATTCAACAACAAGAGACTAAACCACAAAGCAGCATGAAATACTTTTATAGCCCATGAAATGCCAAGTAATTTTTTTGATGTAGCAGGGTGCACCTGAATTTGCCAATAAGCTGGAGCCCAAATATCCACTACCTGGTCCAAATTCACTAAGTTAAGCTCACAACAAGGCCTATCCACCACAACATTCCCTATAGGTTTTGCATTTTGTATTTAAATTTCTTTAGAAATGTTCCGCATCATTGTGTTTCTTGTTTTGCAAGATAGGGTTTGTCCCAAGGAAAATAAAAATGAGCTGAACCCAAAAACGGTGAATAATGATCTCTTTATTTTACAAAATTAATAATCAAGTTTTAACCTACAACTGCATCTGCTTGCCTTGAGAGAAATGACTCCTCTCTATAGGACTTGTAAGACTCCACATTTGTCTTTCATTGAATTGATAGGACTTTGGTCTAAGTTTTGTGCTTGGGTAGAGATATTCAACTAATAATCTTTTTGTTTCTCTATCAATTTATCCCTTTTTTATTTTATTGATCAGTCTCTGCTTTCTTTATAGACATTTCTCCCCATTTTCCTCTACTTCTCTTTCCTTTGGTCAGACATTAGTAAAGTTTCATCTTGGTTAAAGTACAATACCTCCATCCATATAAACCCAATTGTGTGATTCGTTACCACCTACCAATCTCCTATCCTTTTTCCGTTGATATTTGAAACTGGTTTTTCTCTCTATTTGGGTGCAAGTGGAATCAACTAATGGGAGGTAAATTTTCTATTTGATCGTTTTACTTTTGCTTGGCCTGAGAAAAGGAGGAGAATCATGTGGAGATGTATGAGGGCTGCTTTGCTATTGACTATCTAGGAAGAGGAGGAATGCAAAAATTTTCACAAAAAAGGAGAGAAGAAAAGAAGCGGTGAGAGATTGTCTGATGGCTAGGGTGGTTCATTGGATTTGAACCTTGGACTTGTTCTTGCAGTTCTCCTTTGATGATTTATGGAGAAACTGGGAGGTGGTGGCTAGAAGCTTGCCTAAGAAGGAAAAGTGCATAAGATTTGGCAGCCTCCTCCTAAAGCAAAGTTCAAATTTGGTGGATGTAATCAAGGTAATCCAGGACCCTCAGTAATAGGAAGCGTTTTGACTTTTGAGAAATACGTAAGGACATATTGTTGCCTTGTTCTTGAGCCCAGTAGGAATGGGTGCCTCATTTAAAGTTGAATTACTTGCTGTACCACAATGAGTTAAGATTGCAAGTGAATAAAATATGCTAAATGTGGTGATCGGAGGGAACTCAAAACTCATGGTGGGGTGGTTGCAGGAACCAGAATCTATAATTTGGTGTTTTGGGGATGAGATGAAAAGGTTTAAATGGATCATTAGAACTATGAATTTGAGCATGCAATAGGGCGAGGAGATGAACTAATGGGAATGGTGGATACTTTAGCTAAATAAGGGGTGAATATAAATCTTTTGTGTTGGGCTCAAAAGAAATACTTAAACTATTTCTATAAGGAGAGGTAGCACCTTGTGCCTCTCTATGGGATGCTTGTAATGCTTCCTACTTATTGATTAATAGAAGTGATTTTACTTGTCAACAAAAAACAAGTGCAAAATCCCCATCCCTTTTTGGGGCTGTAAGATTGCTATGACATTGTTGCACAAGAGCCTTTCTTCTCAAAGATGGTCAGAAATCAAATTAAAGTCATCAGTAAAAGGTAAAAACAGACATTTTCCAATTAAACCCATCGAAAGGTAAGCCTTCCATCAGCATGATGGTTTTCCATGTATCATGCACCAAGAGAAGCATCCTTCTAAGCCTAACCTTGAAGATAACCTTATAACTCCAGAGAAAATGTTTATCCTACAAACATATCCACCATAATTGCACAGACTATAGAAAAAAGTTACATTTCCCCAACAAGAAAATTAAATTTGGACTAAACAATAGCTTCTCCCCACCAAGTGAAAGGCAGATCATGAGTAGAACCAAAAATAAGTAAGTTATAGATTAAAGCCCTAGTTGGTCGGAAGTAGTTTAACATTAATCACTACAAAGAATAGCTAACTGAGCTGTAAGGAATGGATACCAAGTGCAGAAGCTATTGGTTATGCAATCATGATATAATGCAATTCATCTAAGGGGCCTTATCCAATATTTTCCCAACTATGTGGGGTCTTCAAAGGGGCTGACCAGATATGGACATAATCTTCGGCATTTTCTTGCACAAAGTGGCTGCCCTCAGATTCAAATCTGTGTTCTCATGCTTGTCAGCCTGAGATTTTACCATTGCACCAATCAATGGCCCATATTTAATGCAACTCATCTAGTTAGCAAAACTAATGCCACCCACAAAGGCCTTCAAACTCTGGACAACCTCAAAGTTTAAAGCAACGAGTAGTTTGACAAAGACAACGTCATGACCAATCCATGTAAATAACAGAAGTAGGCAATCTCCCATTACCTGAAAGTATCATTTAATAACTTCCAAACAGCATATATAAAGCAGTCACTGGCAATTTGAAAAGAACCTGGTCATTTCCCAGATCTTATACGATAATGGTTTAGGGAGCCCATATTCAAAAACTATCAAGTAACCAAAAGAAACGTAACATCCAGTGTCAAAAAATGTCTTCCCCTTGATTCAGAGTCAGGGCTTCCGTTACTTTTCGGAGTACCGTAGTGGGAGACCGTGACAAGTGTTCATTTGTAGATTACGAACATATTGCAAGTTCATGAAATTTTAATACGATATAGTCACTGATGATATAAAAAAGGCAAAAACCTCCCACTTGTGATGCCAATTGCCAACTCTCACATATTTTGCCAACTACATTTCAATTTCATACCACCTCTACTTAAAAATAAACATTTCCTTATAGAATACCCATAAAATTGCACCATGAACAAGTTAGAAAGACAATTACAGTAATTCAGTTAAACCAAGGGAAACAAACTAAAAGAGAGAGAGAGAGAGAGAGAGAGAGAGAGAGAGAAAACGTTATCGAGAAAGATCTTTTCGATTGAAATCATTGACCTCAAGCGGCGATTTACAGAACTCAGTTGAAAAATGAAATAAAAGAAATAATTGCATAACCGAACAAAAACAGGAGGAGAGCTAATCAGATTACATAGTGGAAGTCGATGGTTCTACTCTCAAGCAAATCGTAGATGTTGCCATCGGAGAAATTCATCGTGTCCATTGCAGACGCTGGTAAACCCTAATCAGAGATTAATAAGAATGTTTTTTTCGACTCTTACAAAGTCGGTGTTTTAATCTCAGCGACGTCTTTTCCCTTTCTTCTCGAAGAAAAGGAACGGAGAAGGAGGAGAGAGAGGGAGGGAGACTGGAGCTCCTTATATGGAGACATGCCTCGTGTTGCTCCCGCCTATATGCACACGACGTTGTTTTGTTTCGGTTGTTTCTACATGAACAAAATTCCGCGAAATGGAAAACATACAGCACCGAGAAACTACGATCTGCACCAGATTTGGTGCATCAGGGTCTACCAAACTGAATGGACTCACAACTTCCATCTCCGTGGATCATGTAAACCTTGATTTTGGCGTATATTACGTACGGAGCGAAAATAGATCAGAGAGCTAAGCACTAACCAATCAAGGAGATATAGGCGGTATGATGTAATTGTATCCCTTAAAAAGAAAATTGGGGAAAAAAATCACGTCCAAATATCGTGAGTAATATTTTATGTAAATCTAGTATATTATATCATTTTTATTTTGATTCGTGCCATAAAAATCAGCGTCCTCGAGCAACGTCGTTAGACCCAGATCGGATCGGACAAATGAACCGGTAAACCGATGAACCAGTAACCTTTCCAAGACCCGGTTCAGAAACCCAATGATTAATTCGCCGATTTCAGTGAACTCTCCTATCGTTCTTCCATTCTGTCCCACAACACAGTCTTCAAGGACAACGCAACCCAAATCCTACGGAACCGCCTTAAAAAAAAAAAAAGAAAAATATGAGATAATTGGTCTGAACTTAGATCGATCTTTTTAAAAAGAAATGTATATGCTATTATCCATTTGAATGGTGTGAAAGTATAACATTATTAACTTAATATGCTTAAATGATAGGGGCTAGTGAAGGGCTGCTTTCTTTTTAATCAGGTTCATCAGTTTATTTGCTCATTGTCGTGGGAACTTCATTTATACTGATGTAAATGCATGGAAATGCAAATTGGCCCGTGGTCCTCACCTCTGTTTTGGTAAAATGGTCCCTCCTTTATATGATGATAACAAATTTCGCATTAGCTTTTGAGATGTAATTTTTCATTGTCAATGGATACAAATAAAACAAAAAACAAATAAGATTGCACTAGGGGTACTTACACAGTTCGGTTAATTAAATTATGGGCAATTTTTGAAACCAAACCGGTCTTATTGGTTTTCCAAGTCTCTAAATCAAAACTAAACGTTACCACCAGTTAATTGATTTACTAATTTTGGTTTTTGACTGATTCGCTTTTTTATTTTTATATTTATAAGATATACCATAAATATATATATAATATATTATACTATAAATAATAAATGATATAATACATTATAAATATGAATACTATATTATAAATATTATATATATATAATATGTTATATATTATAAATATAACACATGTATATATAATAAATGCATATATATTTATATATAATATATAGATAATATGTGACATATATTTAAAATATATTATATATATATATATATATTAGTCAGTTTGGTTAACCATTGTTTTTTCTACGTCAATTAAAAACCAAACTGATCATTTGATTTTTTAAATATATCAAACCCATCGATTCAATTAACTGCATTTTCAGTTCTACTTTCTCAATTTGGTTCAGTTTTTTTTTTTTTATAAACACCCCTAATTGCAACTCATGGTTACAAAGAGAAGTGATATCAAGTCCGCAAAAATTTGCATCAGGTTCAGAATTACATTGCACACAAACAAAGCCTTAAGCAAGATGCTATTAGACCTGTTCATACTGGACTAGGGATGAATTTTTGGCAAAATTTGAATGAACTCAACCGGAAGCACGAGACCGATGATGCTGTGTAAAATGTTCATGGGCGGAGGCCGAAGCCCAGCCCATAAACTGGTCTAGATGCTACTGGCGTAAGCTGAAATACTTTCCATTGCTAAATAAAAGATGCTTCTGTATTTAGTTCAGAATCCTAGAATTCAATGGTCATACATCTACCACTAGAGACCTTACTGGCCCATTTCAGAACTAATACCCACATACACGAATCCGGACCAGTTCCTAATAATATCATCCGAACAAGCCCATTTACAGTAGCCTCGGAAACACAACAGCTCGCCATAAAATACAATAGGAAATGTTCCCAAACTCGATCGAGACAAGACCATCGTGACCATTGATCAATTGGTAATTATAGTCTGGAAGCTTCAGAGTTGGCCTAGCCCCTTATCACCTCATGGCCTAACCAATTGGTAATTAAAATGGGCCCAACCACTTATTTAGCTAGAATGGGCTTTCATTAATTTCAAAGAACCGATCAGCCCTAACAAAGCGTGTAAGTCGTAACAGGCTGTGAAGAGCTGATCGGCCCAACCTTTACTTCTTTTTTCTAGTTGATTTGTTTTGTTTGCTTTGCTTGATTAATGAATGGTTTTCTTACCAAAAAAACCCAGTCACGAGTAAACAGTTTGTAGCAGACTTCGGGGCGTACGTCCAGTATTCTTGGAAGACTTGTCCATTTTGGATAACAGAAACTTGTGAAATTTTGACTAAATGTTGTGATGGAATTTTATTATCAAGGTTTTCAGTATTTTGAAATAAATCTATATTTTCATTGTTTGTTTTTACAAAGTTTATATAAAAAAACTGAAATTTAGGATGAAAATTCTTCATTTTGGATCAAGATATCAAAAGAAAAATTGGATGAAATTAAATTTCAGTTAACATTCAGAAACTTTCCCTGTGTTCTCTGATGTGAATTATTTTCCTTGTTGCAAATTCCAAAACAAAATGAAATTAACTGATTCGGTTCTTAAAAAAAAATACAAAAAAAATACAGAAAACTACGGACAGATCTAAAGCAGATTTTTTATTTGCACTGTAGATCTATAAACAATCAAAATGTCAACAATCCACACTCTATGCATCAACGCCCGCATGTCAATTGGCATCAATTCCGAGTTGACACCTACCCCAACAATACTTTGGGCCTACAAATTCTGACCCTGTGCTGAACCGTTATTCTCCCAAAAAAATATGTCATTTGTTAAATGTATGCTTTTTATTTATTTCAAAAAATGAAACCAAAAGTGTGTTATTGAATTTCTGCACAATTTGTTTTTTTTTTGTTGGTTTTAAAAATCAAAATGATTTCAAAAACATGGAATTGTATTTCGAAACAAACGAACTTGCTTTTGCTTTTCAAAGCAAAAATACAATTCAAGTGCATCTTTGTTTTGTTGGCTGATGTGGCAATTTCAATAACAATTGAAAACTAAAATATTCATATTGTATGTTCCATTGTGAATTGCTTTTCTCGTTTATAATTCCAAAAAATAAACAAAACCAGCTAGTTGAAAAGATTGGTGACCAGGATTCAAATATTGAAAACAACCTCTTTGTACGTGCAAGGTTAAGATTACATATAGGGGTGTAAATGGATCAAATTTGAAACAAATTAAGCAATATCCAAATTCAAATTTGATTAAAAAATTTCATACCCGAATTAATTTGATATCTAGCGGGTATTGGAAATCAATGTTCAAATTTGAATTCAATTAAATATTTAAATATTCGATTCGATTTGAATTCAACTAATTAATTGTTTTAGGTTATTAACAAATATATAAAATAAAAAAATTCTATTTATATTATATACATTATATAAAATATTTAAATATTTTATATATTATATATAAGAATTAAATAATCGGTCAAATTTAAATATTTATTAAATTAAATCATGTCATATCTGAATCCAACCTGATTACTTAAACGGTATGAATAGGGTATCCAGATTCGACTGGTTGCAATATTCGAATTATCTGAATTCAATTCAATTATGTTTAAATCTCGAATTCGTAATCAGATTTTTTAATATTATTAATACACTAGCTACATACATCTATCCCTCCATAAACCTCGCATTGATGGAAGCCTTATGAACTAGGCTTCCCTTTTTTATATAGGCTTGGTTTGGAAGTAGTACAAATGCAAATATGTACAGTTACGAATGGCGCTTTCATGCACAACACCAAAAAACGTATTGACTCTTTGACTTTGTTTCTTCCCTCTCCTGTTGTATTTAAATAAAATCATTCGGCTTAAATTAAATATAAAAATCTCTTATAGGAAATTTCACATGTACAATATAAATTTATACAAAATAATATAAAATACAAGGTTTTAAAATATAGAAGTGAAAACGAAGTGTTGAAGGTTGGAGAATCTGGGAGCAAAATTCACTCGAAAGCAAAGGCACTTAAAGGCAAATGACAAGAACGCTGCCATCAAGGCCCTTATTTAAAGGAGAATGAACGGCCCAGATATCTCGAGATCCAATGGATGAGGAGCCACCGCCTCCACAACCCAACTGCAACACGCCACGTATAACTCAGCCTCAGAAGGCGAAACGATGCGCTAGCGACGGCTCGGATCATCTTAGATCTAACAGACTCAAAACGCCTCTGCACCTGCGGTCCAGCCACGCCGCACCCCTGAGCACTCATCCTCAGAAGGTGAAACGACGCTTGGGGCGAACCAGCGCGTCCGCCCACCCACCGGTTTATGTGACCAGGCCACGTGAGCGTGCACACCAATTTGACCAGAAAGTTGTTCCACGCATGGGGTGTTCTCCCAACGCATAGACCCATGTAGAATATGGCCCTCGACCGCCTGTCCGAAGTAGCAATGCCGCAGATCGCTCGTAGCTTTGGCCCAACTTATGTAGACAAACCAGGCAGAAACGCGAAAGAGAATGCCACTAGAGGGTACACCTTGGCTGCCGAACCCACTAGCACTCATCATTAGTACCCCCATCAGCCGAAGCCGAAGCCTTCACCTCGGCCTTGAGTGGAGAGCAAGTGATGTAGGGTGGCCCAGCCCAGCCCATGAACGCCAAAACCAAGGACGCGACTAGCCACAGCAGGGGCTACTATGCATCCCTCGTACGGAGTCAATCGCGGACCGCCCATGCGTCCCCGCAAAGCTCGTTGACTGCCCTTGTACGGCTCCCATATCAGGCGTTCATCTCCACCAACCTCCAGGCACCTCAAGTATAAATAGGGGGTACCCCCCCTCC